AATTTATTTACGAAACTTTACTCTTGCACTTTAGCTAACACAGCCACTCGATTTTACGATAAACAATGAGCAAGAAATTCCTAACCGATATGTCTTGGGAACAACAAAATATAGAACACTCTTGCGAGGAGATGCGCGGAACAACAAATTTTTTTAAGTTACTTTACTCTTGTACCTTAGCTAGCACAGCCACTCAATTTTGCAATAAACAATGAACAACAAATTCCTAACCAGTATATCTTGAAAGCAACAAAATCTAAAAACACTTTTGCGAGAAGCTGCATGGAGCAACTTTATTTATCATACTTTACTCTTGCAATTTAGCTAACATAGCCACTCGATTTTGCAATAAACAATAAGCAACGAATTCCTAACCGACATATCTTGGGAGCAACAAAATCTAGAAACACTTTTGCGAGGAGATGCGTAATGCAACAAATTTTTTTACCGTTTGGCTATGCTAACTTTACTCTTAAGCTAAGAGTTTCTTCCAAAACGGCTGGTACAACGCAATCCGGAATAGAGCAACAAATTTGCAACAAATTAGCATTAAAAGAATCTGCCTTTGTTTTTTTATTTGCTTTTATTTTTTGCGAGTGGTTATGCTAACTTTACTTTTAAGATAGCACAGCCATTGTTTTTTCCGAAACAGCTGGAGCAACAAAATCGGGAATAAAGCAACAAATTAGCAACAAAAGAGCACTGAATTTTTAGTTACGTTTGATTGTACTGAACTAACTGTGCCAACTTAATAGACGTCGGACGCAGTTGTCACTTTGAAATTGCTTGCAGGTCATTTATTAAGTATTGTTAGTATTTACATACCTGTGTAAGTGTATGTGTACACTGAGAAAAAAATTTACTAAAAAAAAGAAAAATTAGTTAAATTTAAAGAAATAATGTATTTGCATAATACTGCAGAATCATTTATTTTAATGAAACAATTATATTAATTTTCTTTCAAGGAATAATTTTTCCATTAGTAAATAATTAATAAAATTCAAGAAATATTTTTCAGATTATAAGAAATGTTTTGGAACGAAAGTAATAATTGTTGCAACAAAATAATTTCGAAGTAGTAGTTTATGGAAAGAAAATGATACTTTGTCTTAAGTCAGAGCTCGAAATAAGTTGCTCATTTCGGCCAATTCTCGAAAGCTACGCCTTCTATCTTCTCCTTGTCGCGAGCAGGCCACAAAAATGACGATCGCGGCCAATCGCGGCTGCAAGCTTGGAGGTTTGATTGTCACTTTCGCGACCGGTTCGCGGCAAGGGGAAGATAGAAGGCATAACCCATATAGGAATGCCAGTTTTTGCAATAGCGCCAATACTTGGCCCAATGTATGGTAACCAATAACTGGCCAATACTCGATCTTTTATTCTGGGCCATGCTTGGCGTATGACTGGGTACTATTGATTTCCACAATCCTTCGTCGATGATTATATTCGTCGTGTTTATTATTTTATTATAAAATATGTCGCAAAATTATTATAGGCAGAAAAAGTATCGGAAATTAAAGAAGTTAAAAATTACTGAGTGTGATAAAATTAAGAAAAGTGACGTTGAAAGTAACAATGAAATAATAAACAATATTATCAGTGTAAATAGTGAGGTTATATTAAGTCACGATGAAAAAAGTATTGATTTGAAAGACAATTCTGATCATTGCAATAATTCTATTAGCATTAATAATTCTTCGTGTACAAGTGACTCTACTAATGTAATATTATGTGATGATGGAGTTAACGATGTCATTGACATAACAGAAAAAATTCGGCAGTGGACACTAAACAATCTGGACACTTTACGATTGAATGTTGTAACGGATTTACTTTTAATATTGAGGGAAGAAGGTCATTCTTCTTTACCAAAAACTGCTCAAACTCTTTTAGGTACCAAACATCATCGGATTTTGCAACAGATGTATAGCATTAAAGATTCTTTTGGAGAATATATTTATATTGGGATAGAACATGGTTTGAACCATGTAATTGATCCCAACATCTTCATTGAAAAAAAAAT